GTGAAAGGGAGGTAGAGAGGAAAATGGGGAAATTCTAAAATTTGAATCTCAAAAAGTTGTGGGTTTGTGTGTTGTTGTTTTTGTTGTTGCATTTTTAAAGTACTGAGCTAAAGTAAAAAGCTCTAGATCCTACTATTGGTACAGGACCGGTGGAGCCGGTAATAATCACTGTTTACAGGCCCAACACATTCCAGCTGCGTGAACTTCCACGTAAATGGTGGTGTTAACAGCAAAACTAAAACTAAAAACTAAAATCATATTGAAAAGAAATTCATATAGGTTCGGATCCTGCGCTTCTCGCCTGTTCACTTTCCTGTGACATCTTCCAAGTGAAAATTTCTGACCTTTGCTGAGAATAGAAGATCAGCTTGCAGGCACCCTTTCTCCAGCCGGTGTCCTGCTATTAACGTGTTGAGGCCTCAATGACTTCACTGAGGCTGACTGCAACCTTAAACCTCTTGTAATTAAGGCAGCAATATGACTGCAGTAGACAAATAGTACATATTTGTAAAACTTAAAAAGGTCTTAGTATGAACGTCGCGCCAATTGTCAAAAGGTGAAATTGAATACAACAATGAATTGATTAATGTTCTCTGTGCTACAAGTCCATAGTAGCACTATAATATCTAGTTCTATCCTATTAACGTCCCTGATCATTATTCATAGTCTAACTTGCCTGCACGCAGGTTGTGCTTTCGCTTTTGGACTGGATCCAGACTTGTGCAAGCATAAGTCTGCTTACAATATTAGAATAACATGCACTAGCGCCATGGGATATGATTAACCCATATCATCACTCACTGGTATGAATAGTAATTAGCCAATAGATGCCTGACTGCATGCATTAGCTTCAGGATCTACAACAACCTTCCCATCTAGGCTAGATTAGGAAGGATGTTGGAGTTCACACTAGTGTGCAAAAAACCCCGCTTTCATGTATATAGAGGGACTTCTTGCCACACATAGAATTATAGCCATTTCTTTACAATGAACTATTCATTAAACATCAGTGGACTTCATACATTAAACAAATCTATCATAACTCCAACTCAATTTCATACTTGGTATATCATTCTTGCAATCTCCAGAACCATTCTAATTGGTTATGAGCCTGGGTTTACAGGTGCTATGGGGACGGACATGGAAAGGAACTGATTTGGTCACTTGCGTGACTTTGTCAGCAACCATCTTTTCCGTGATAAAAACGGAACCTGTGAGTGTGTTAATTCTCACCGGGGCGGTGGCTATTTGTAATAAAACCAGATTTGATGCTTGCTCTAGATTTATTCCAGATTCCCTCCGTGCCATGGAAGAATCCGGGAACTCTTTCCGAGCGAGTTCATCCTTTGCTGTTAGCGCAAAGCCTGTTTTTACCTACTGAACCAACGTGATGTTATTGGCTGCAGTACCAAATGCCTCTGAGACAGCTGATTTTACGCCAGCTGGTGCTAGGAGTCGGTGGGGGTGGTCATAATTGAGGCGTAGAAACAGTCGCGTAATGACCGCTGTCCTCGTATTGGCACCCCTTGTTACAGGCTGCGCCTATCTCCTAGTGACTGTCGCACGGACACTTATCATTTATTACGTCATTAGCCTTGCTATCTAGAGAGATGTCCAACTTGGCCATACAAATACAAGGTTGCAACAAATATGGAAACAAGATATTGTTGCAGCAAGTCTCATATGGAATCATGGGCCGATACGACCCAGATTCGCTATGACGAGCCCACTCGGAATATCAAGGATATGATGTAGTAGAATAGATAGTGAGGTTAGCGCATTGGGAGTTGGGACACCTTAAGTAGCATCCCCTCGGTGGACAGTTCCGAGATTTATGTAGAAAATAGACAGTAATCGGCCACCATTCCTTTACTATATTGTTTTGTTGATCGCCCATCACACCCCTTGCTTTTGGAGCGGGCAAAGCTGCCTTTTTTGTTGATGGCCCAATGCTGTGGCCAAGGCCTGCTCGGGCTGCATTCACCCAAGTTGTCTTCTGGGCCGGAGCCTGGGTTGTCGAAGGGTTAGGTACCCTGATTTCATGAGCCCTCGGAGGAGGAGGGTTTCTGGGGCGCACAGAGAGGACTGGTGGGGTGCTGCCTGGGCATGATTGTATGAACTGGCCAATGGCCGCTTGAAGGTAGACTTTAATGCCGTCTACGAACTCTTTTTCTTCACCAATCGAGAGAGGCAAAAGTGATGCTTCAACATTGCTTATCGCAGTGGAACAGGTTGATAGACGGGCCTTGATTTACGTCGTGCGACGCTTCTCGGCCTCCATCACTGTATGAAGTTCCGGAGGATATTCCGGTGCTGATGTCGAAGCTGTGCCTTTTGGAGCTGGCACAGTGAATATCCTTGCAGACGTTTTTGCTTATTCTCTCGTCTTCTCTCGAACAACTTCCTCTCCTTTCCTTGAGGTGCTTGCCTCTGGGGCAACCTCGATGGGAATGTTGGTCTTGGGACCAATTTTTTCTGACCTGGCGGGCTCAGAATCAGTCATCTCTTTATCGGGAAGGTTTGGAGACTTCCCTTCGATGAAGGCCTCACTCGCAAGCATGCTTGATATTTTTTGCGCGAGGCCAGATGTTTTTGTGGGCGCCCTCGGACGGACTCTCGCGTTGTCCAACATTGAGTTGGGGAGCTTTTGTCGAACAGGTGGCATGATGAAAATGCCAGCGACTCGATTACAATTTGTTGAGGGAATGCGACGAGCGGGAGAGGGAGGTAGAGGGGGAAAAGGTGAAGATTCGAAATTTCGAAATTCAAAAATTTGAGTGCGTGTGTTTTTGTGTTTTTTGAACTACTTAAGTCATAGACTTTCTAGCACAATGGGCTCCTTTCTGACCCAGGCCACACCTTATACATTGCCCCTTGCCTCTTTTGTTACTTGGAAGATTATTGATATATTTCCCGCCATGATTAGCCATTCAGCTGAGTGTTACCCGTGAAATTCAATCACTTTTTCCACGGAACTTTCTACCCAAAAAAGAAAAAAAGAAAAATGGTAACAATGGAAACTGCGTGCGCGGGAAAAAGTCTCAAAAAACCTGCAGCCCCAGCCAGGCGAGGCCTAGACACCAGGACCACATGAGGTGCGCATATTCATCTATATCTCCCTTCCTTGTAACAGTCGAGGTCGACTTGATCCAATCCGCCATCGCCGTATCGGGAGCTGGGTACGCTCCGGAAACTCATCGGATGGCTTTTCCTCCATGATCAAGGGTTGGTGATGAGTAGGGCTCCGACCCTACCATCTGATCTGATCGTGGTTAGCTTCATGATAATGGTGATAGGGGAATGTGTTGAGAGATGAAGACGATACAGACCGCGAAAGCGATTGGGAATCCTCGTCGAAGTGAGGACCTTGTTACTCGATCTCGGCTCTGCAGACTCTACAGTGAGAGCTGAAGGTTCGTAAGGGACACCACTGACAGGTGTTGAGAATAGTCTCTCTTTTCTTCCTTGTTTTTCCTCTATAGATTTTCTTTTCTCTTCTGTCGGAATCTGTAGAAGGCCTAAAATGACTTTCAAAAAAGTCGGACAGGGAAAAACCTCGGGACAAAAATAGGGAGTGTCCATGCGTACGTAGGTTGTTTGTTTCGGTCAATGCTTGAATTCTGTATTTAGAACCGCAGGTTATTCTATTCCTAGCGCATGTCTATATTTAGAGACCAAGAGATCAAGTCAATCATGATCAGTATAAATAGTCCTAGAACTCCGGGAGAAATAGGAATCAAGTTGTTTCTACTGAGTTATCTTTTACTTCAATTACATACATTTCGCCTTTCACAGGTCAGGATCCCAGTTACCTGACAGTATTGCATACTCAGAAACTTTGTAGCCTCTGTCTCGCTCCGACCTTGCCCCGTTACTGCCGTACACTTTGATGTGGAGGCTGAATACCAGTAGCAGAGCTCAAAATCGTGGCACCGATACCTCAGCCTTAATCAAATGCTCCAGTTGATATGCTGGCGAAATGTTGACATGTTTCGTTTGCGGGCATTCATTGCAGCTCGAGTTGCTATTACCTTGGCCAAGGTATAGACGAACATAAGGCCAGTACTTCGCCCATATTTCAACCGCGCGCAGAAGTGAAGGTAGTATCAATTTATACTTGTAGCTTAGATGGCCACTTAAGTTTTGGATTGATAATTGTTTCGGTAGGTAGTGAGATGAATTCGGACACGGTCGCGAGTTGACTTAGCCAGGAATGATCTTGAAGGAAACTTTACGGAGAGAAATAATCTAAGTTGTTTTAATAAAATTATTAGACAGGTGTTATTCTGTCTGCGTTTCGTATTTGGGATGTAGATAGTTTATTTCGTCGGGTTGTGGAGTCGCTATATCAACGTCGGACCGGTTTCCGAAAAAAAACGTTCCAACCCCACTCCTTCCTATCACCAACTCTACGAAAGCTCTCAAATATAGCCGATATTGTGGTTGGGTCAAGGTTCTGGGAGAATATTCCGCTCCCGTATTCGTAGAAAACATCACAAACTGTTGTTCAATCATAGCTCTCCGATGCGCCTTGGTTCGTTCTTTCGCGGAATCCCTGTAGTGCGGGGTTTCAACGAAATAGAATCAAGACAAATACCCCCGAACAGCAATTAGTTTTGTAGAAATTCCTTCCTATTCACGACAGGACTGGGTGGCGATTCTGGGATGAAAACCAAAATCCAGATTTATGGATAGCTTTGATTAGACGTATTTTGACGACTTACCCTCGACTAGATGTAAGATGGGCTCCTATATTCTGACCAGCACCACGTGACCTGACGGATTAGCCGCTTCTCTTACTCGAAGTGTGATCAAATAACATCTACCCCAATGTGGTCATAATTAAAAATTTCATACAGCGAGCTTTAGTTTCCTCGAACCCTTTCTTTGCTGTATTTTGTTCTAACTCAAATCCACTGTTTTCAAGTTTCTTCACACCGATTGGAACTATTTGAAAAAAAAGCGCGCTGCAATTCTGGACACTACCCCTTGTTGAGGTCATGATATCAACTACCAATCGATCCGAGGCATTTTTGCCCGTAATCACTGCAATGAAGGCTATGCGAGAAGGTAGCAGAGAACATAAAATAGCTGCACATCAGTTTCTAGAAAACTTCCAAAAGTCGGTAGGTTCAAGGGCATCCTTCCATCTATGGCACATGACTGATCCAACACAGAGTGAAGCATGGAAGGTCACTATTGGAATATTAAGCTCAGAAGCTGAATTAGAAGCAAAACTGTTCGCTGCCACTACTTTGAGAGGAAAGGTACAAAAAGAAAAGTGTACGAAGAATGAGGCTAATTAGCCAGATCACCTATGATTTACACCAAATCTTGCCCGAAGACTTACCCCCTCTTCGCGATCAAATTCTGGGACTCATGAAGACCTTTGCTGGATCTGCGAGACCAGTTCGGATTCAGCTTTGCGTATGTATGGCGATTTTAGCGATACAAATGACGACATGGAAAGACGTTCTACCTATGATCATATCATCGCTAGGCGATAATGACAACAGTCATTCATGTATCCTCGATTTTCTCAAAGTACTACCTGAGGAGGTTACCGAAGGACGCAAAATAAATTTAACGGTATGTTAAGAGTTACCTTAGTCATGTTCCTAAGTTGTTGTCAGTAGAAAAGCGCAATATATAGTTTTACTTACTTCACTAGGATGTTGAACTGCAACTAAGAACTACGGATCTTTTGACTAATAATGCAACCTCAGTAGCACAGCTGTTGATCAGTTATGCACAATCAACAGGTAAGAAATAGATCTTTATTTTGATATAAAAATTAAGGCTTACCAATTCACAAAGAAGGAGCAGCAAATAATCCTCATTTGATTGACGTAGTCACGTCGTGGCTACGCGAGATACCGATAGCAGATGTTGTGAATTCTCCATTACTCGATCTAGTTTTTGCTGGCCTCCAAATTTCATCATCTTTCGAATCTGCAACCGAATGTCTATGTGCAATCCTTCACGAGACTCATGACGTCGACGAATATTTACCTTCCATACAAATACTGATGACCCGTATCATGACTCTTCGTCCCCAGATCAAGCAAGCTGCAGATCAAGAAGATGTCGAGGTTTTCAAGGGATTGACCCGTATATTCACGGAAGCGGCCGAAGCTTGGGTAATACTGATTGCTAGACAGCCTGCCGCTCTGAGACCTATTGTGGAGGTAGTTCTTGAGTGTTGTGCGAGAGATGTGGAACGAGATGCGATTGCGGTAACATTTCGATTCTGGTATGAACTTAAACTCTATCTTATACTGGAAAGATATATCGAGGCTAGAGTTCAATATCTAGACATATATGCCCAACTTGTAGATGTTATGCTAATGCAGCTCGAGTATCCAAAACCCGATAATGAAAACCAAGTAGATCTTTTCGATGGCGATAGAGAGACGGAAGAAAAATTTAGAGAATTCAGGCACCACATAGGAGATGTTCTCAAAGATTGTTGTGAAGTAATGGGAGTCACCGAATGTCTAACTAAAGTCTTGTTGAAACTTCAAGATTGGATGAGGTCCCATGGCAATCTAACCACAGAAACATATGTGCCAAATTGGCAACAACTCGAGGCTCCACTCTTCAGTATGAGAGCTATGGGAAGAATGGTGGACAAAGAAGAAAATATTATCTTACCTCAGATCATGCCACTTCTTGTTCAAATTCCATCTCACGAGAAATTGCGGTTTGCTACAATAATGGTACTTGGCCGTTATACCGAGTGGACCTCTAATCATCCCGAGTTTCTGGAGCCTCAGTTTGCTTACATAGTTTCTTCATTTGAGACTGATTCCAAGGAAATTATTCGAGCTGCAGCTATGGCAATGAAATTTTTCTGCTCCGATTGCAAGCACCTGCTCAGTAGTCATATTGTCCAGCTTCAGCAATTCTATGACCAAACGATTTACAAATTGCCTGGAATAAGTCAGGAAGAACTTACTGAAGGAGTAGCATCTGTCGTTGCAGCTCAACCGCCCGAGCAGATCTACGGCCTTCTTGAGCTTTATTGTGGTCCCTTAATCACCAAATTGATGACACTTGCAAATCAAGCATCAAACGAAGATGGAAAACTAGCTATTGCAGGTTAGTAGTATAAAACATCCCAACAATATAAGCTAATCAAACCTTGGAATAGACCATCTGCAACTAATAACTATATTTATTCAGTTGGTGACGCCATTCATAAGTCCTGGTAAAGAAAACCCAGCCGTGAAGTATTGTCAGGAAATATTTCCCATTCTAGTCACCATATTGAAAAACTTTATTGACTTCACGCCAATCTGTGAGAGAATTTGCCGTAATTGGAGGTATATGGTCATTTCATATCGCACGGCAACTAAACCATTACTGCCGCAAATGGCAAATGAGCTTGCAACTGGATTTGCTTCATCTAAACAGGGATGTTTTCTATGGGCCACAAGCGCGATTTTAAGGGAGTTTTCTGAGGATCGAGAGCATATAGACGACCAGACTACTGACGCAATTTATCAGTTCTTTGAAGCTCAGTCAACCAACATGCTTCGGATGATGAGTGATCTACCACCAAAGGAATTACCTGACGTTATCGAGGACTTTTACCGGCTACTAGTTGATGCTCTACTCTATTACCCTCATAAATTGATATTCTCTCCTTTATTCCCACCCATTTTCCAAGCAGCAATAGTGGCATTATCTCTAGAGCAAAGAGATCCCCTAAACGCAGTTCTGCATTACATCCGAGATCTTGTTGGATATGGTGGTAGTAATCCACCTAGTTCTGGAAAAGTTCACCATTCATCAGACATAAAAGAAATTGTTCAAAGACTTATCTTGGCTAACGGAGAACATCTTGTAAAGCAATTATTCGCCGGTATGATGATCAATTTCCCTAACGATTGCTTCACGGATGGAAGTGGGGCTCTACTCGGCCTCTTCGAACTCTTTCCGCAACAGACGACCAACTGGGTCGATGCCACAATCCGCATGATATCATTAAGTACCGTAGGTGAGCATGAAGTAAATAGGCTTATGAACGGCATACGAGAAAATATATCCCAAGGTCCTGATGGGCTCCGCAAAGTTCGAAGCCAGCTCCAATCTTTCACCAACAGCTATCGACGGAGATATGTCGCTCCAAGAGATGGCTTAGGCGGGTTAGAATCAGAAAAGTTTTATTTTCATGCTTAAGCCATATTTTTTCATGGTTTTAATATTTGCAAAGCATAGCGATTATATGGGCTTCAGTTGTAGCGTTGAACGACTAATTTGAAAAAAATATAGCCAAGATGTGATAAAGGAGCTGTTTTTTGGGCTGGAAACAGTAGGAGTTCGGTGTGGGAAAGGTACTAAGGGGAGATGAAGTACTAAGATCAAGCACAGATCTTGGCGAGGCGGTAAAATGAGGATAATCTGTACATCCAATGTATAATTGGTTAGCGCCCGAGAACAAGAAGACCAGGTGTTTTACGAATCATTCATAGGAGTCACAACAGATAAGTTGCGTACACGGAATTTTATAGATATACCAACAATGCCTGCACCTTAGAAATATTCTTTAATTTGAGGTTGACATAAAATCCGTGTTATCACGCTAATAACGAAATTCTCCGGCGAATTACATATAATTCAATGGCATTGTCAAAAATTTAGTCAAACTCTTCGCTAAATTTAGCTCATAAGACACACTTTATAGAGGCACATAGAAATAATTTGGATCGAGCATTCTGTGATTTTATTAAATTTAATACACGAGTTATTGATTCGAAGCGGTAAAAAGCCATCGACTCTCCATCTGAACGAACTTTATCATTGCAAACAAGCTCTGTCAAGCCTGAAACCCCCATTTTCCAAGGAGATAGTTTTCTATACCATACAATGGCTCTTGGTGGGGAACTATTCTCAGCACCTGTCAGTGGTGTCCCTTACGAACCTTCAGCTCTCACTGTAGAGTCTGCAGAGCCGAGATCGAGTAACAAGGTCCTCACTTCGACGAGGATTCCCAATCGCTTTCGCGGTCTGTATCGTCTTCATCTCTCAACACATTCCCCTATCACCATTATCATGAAGCTAACCACGATCAGATCAGATGGTAGGGTCGGAGCCCTACTCATCACCAACCCTTGATCATGGAGGAAAAGCCATCCGATGAGTTTCCGGAGCGTACCCAGCTCCCGATACGGCGATGGCGGATTGGATCAAGTCGACCTCGACTGTTACAAGGAAGGGAGATATAGATGAATATGCGCACCTCATGTGGTCCTGGTGTCTAGGCCTCGCCTGGCTGGGGCTGCAGGTTTTTTGAGACTTTTTCCCGCGCACGCAGTTTCCATTGTTACCAATTTTCTTTTTTGGGTAGAAAGTTCTGTTGGAAAATATACTCTGTACGATATTATATGGATAAATATGATGAAGTAAAGAAGACTTGATATTTTACAACTATGGGAACATTGGACTTATATATACATCTAGGGGAGAAATTCCCGCTAGCCTCGTGTGCCTGTCAAACCTAGTGATGACTAGCCACCTCTCATCTACCATGATGAGCCAAGGTACACTGTAGTACGTAAATATCCAAACGTATAGGCGACAGTAGGCGCGGTTAGCGTACTCGGGACATTTGTAGAGAGAGTCGATCTTGTCGGGAACCTGAGACGAAACAGGTAATGATTGAGTCCTAAATTCGAGAGTCAGAATTTCCAACAAGTTCCGTGGAAAAAGTGATTGAATTTCACGGGTAACACTCAGCTGAATGGCTAATCATGGCGGGAAATATATCAATAATCTTCCAAGTAACAAAAGAGGCAAGGGGCAATGTATAAGGTGTGGCCTGGGTCAGAAAGGAGCCCATTGTGCTAGATAGTCTAAGATTCAAGTAGTGAAATAAACACTCCTCTCTCTTTACACCTATAGTGTACGAGGGGTTCTTAAGGCTCTGACAGGGGTCAGTCTTAGCTCAACAGCGAGGCGCTTGTGGTAAAGGATGAGAGGGGATGTAAGAGGGGTAGAAGGTGACAACAATATATGTATTTTGAGACAACAGTTTTTGTTTCATTTGACCTGATTTGGCGCACTATGGGGCCATGCAGGTAGATATAAATCAAACTACATATTTATATGAGGGGGAGAGTAATCCGATAACAACTCCCTCCCCCTATTGAATTTTAACATCTGTTGTCCTTTGTTATCTACAGGAAGTGCAATTGGCCGTTAGTTCGAGACAGAACTAGCTAAAGTATACCTCGACATCCTTCCCTTTGCCTTGCGTGCCGAAAAGTGATGCCTGTGGTCTTGTAGTCGACCACGATGGTTCTGATATTATTGGTGGCGCTGTGACTAGAAGCTGGTTGCGCGGGCGTCCTGGCCCTCTCTTGACCCCCTCTGGCTTCTGATGGGATACAAGTGTAAACCCCTGGTCGTTTAATTTATTAGCCGTGGATTAATTTGTTACCATTGGACGTATTTCTTCCCTTCTTCTATCCGCCGTTCGCTCCAAAAGTCCAAATCTCGCCCCTTGAACGCAAGCCTTATATTTTACGAAGCTTTGACACGACTTCTTCTGCCACGATTTATGAGCCTCGCCGCAGTTGCAGCAAAGCACTGATTCTCTGGGTAGTCTCTGGTCTGATGAATGCCCGCACACTCACCACATCTCCTTGCCTTATTGCAGGAAGCCTGAGTATGCCCTGATTGGCTGCAGTTGAAGTACTGCTTGATTTGTGTCCGAGGTGACCAGAGCTGGGCCGTGTATAGCATTGAATCCATTACAATGCCATTTCTCATCACATTGCTTTGAAGAGCCTCTTTTTTTTTTTGCGTCAGATTTTAATTACGTATGCGGCTATCTAGCTATGACACAATTTCAAAGAAAAGTACAGAATAGATGATTCAACGTAAAGGAAGAGCACTAATGCCTCAGATTTCATTTGCAAGTACCACTGCGAAGTTATGGTGGCTTTTTCTTCACCCCAAGTCAACCCTCATCCGTGAATACCCACCCAGGGAAACATCTCAAACCCTCTGAGTTATCCAGACATGCCTCTGTCATCTTTCAACTTTTCTCCGCGCGGAATATGGGTTGAGATGTCTCCTTCCCGAGTGTAGTAGGTGCCCAGGCTACTCAGACTATACCGGAGAACACCACTAGGAGGCGGACCACAACACCTTCCATCGTTTGCTTGTTTTTAAAGTGTCAGCTGCATTCTTGCAAGCGAAAGTCTTGGCGCGCACAAAGCTGAATTCGTAAAACTCCTTGCCAAAATTCGAAATTTCACGCCCGTCAAGTATGTATCCATCCTCTGCATCATCTTATCAACTTGTCCTGATCCCATTCACGTCCATCCCAAAAATAACTGTATTCCAGATTTGTGCGCTTCGCTTTGCTTCCTCCATCGAGTGTAAATATCGGCGTGGGCATGTATTTGGTGTTCAACTGAGACCAGAGAAGGTCGAAGAGTGGTGTGGTCATTGGAATGAGGATGTACTTGGTCGTACTTGTAGACTCGATGAGACGAAGATAGAGGTCAAACTCGTTGGGAGCGAAATAACGACGTGGATGAGTAATTTGGATTTTTTCCTCGTGGGCCAACTTCTTTGATATTGCGAAATTTGACTGAACTTGGCTCTGGGAGAATATTTCACTCCCAGGTTTGTAGATGACACCGCGTACAGGTGTTCAGTCATGCCCTCCGATTCCCGAGTCGTCGAACAGTCGGAAACCTGGTCTAGAGACGGACACTCTTCCCAAATGAGCTACCCATGTCAGGTAGGGGGCTCCCTCTCTCCCTTTTCCATGAGGGCGAACTCTTCCCGAACCTTTTTAGTGAGTCAGACGATTTCATCTGCTGCGATCTCGTTGGTGTGAACTACTTTTCATGGGAGTGTGTGATTTGCAACAAGAATTGTCGCAATACAAAGGGCCACCAAATCTGAGGCCTTCTACAGGATTGCGTCTACCTGGACGAAAGACCCAGCAGATTCTAGAAGAAGCTGTCGTATCTCCTGGTTTTTGGATCGAAGTGCGAAGCCAGTCGTAACACGGCTTACATGTTCAATATTCTGAGGGGGAATTCCAGCACTTTTTATGCTGCATCTCGCACACCAGCCGGCGAGAGAGGGCGCCAAATATGTTCTTTTCCGAGTCGAAGAAACAAACGATTATCTTTGAGGGCAGTTTTCGAAGCCTTTGCTGGAGGTCTCGTTGGTGCCGAGGGCTCGTTGTGGACCCGCACATCTTTCACAGGTGCTTCTGGCGTATGGAGGCCAGTTCGGGTAAACGTTACCCAGGTAGGCTTGACCGAGGTTATTCTCGCCTAGTTCTCTGTTTGTAGCTGCTCTGACTGCTTTTTTGTCGTTTTTTCCACGATCTTTCGGCCATGATTCTGGCAGTTTGGTCGTGAAGGGAGGTTGGGAAGGACTGTTACTGGTCCCGACAACATGAATTGAGCTACTGCAGCTCCGAGGTAGACCTTCATGGAGTCTATAAATTGAACATTCGGCCCTTTAGATAGAGGTGCGAGTGGATTCTCCACACTGTTGATGGCAGCGGTGTATATTGTAAGGTTAAATGCGGTCTGGGCCGCCCGCTGTTCTTCGGCTTCAAGTATGGCTCGAAGCTCGGGAGGACAGGTCGCAGTGTTGTTTGAGCTACTATCGCTACAGGAAGATTGATTGTTTCCACTTGCCCCCAGAATGGTATTCTGAGGGGTTGTGGTGGACGCGACTTCGTCGGCTTTTTTTAAGTTAGCATTAGCTGTCCGCTTTATGGCCGGCACAGCAAACTTCCTTGTGTCTGTAATAACGGGGGCCTCTGAGACCTGACCGTCTTTGAGTTTATTGATATTCCATCGTGAGCTCTCGAGCCCCTCCATGATATATCAGTCTGTAACCGCATCACCAATTTCAACATCTGGGTTCGTGGAGTTAGAGTCTTCTTCGAAGGCTCGTAACCTTTTGGTCATTTCTCTCTCCATTTTCCGCCCGTCTATCGAGCTCAATGGTATATTCTTTTTTGCCAAGCACTTTTTCAGCCTGGTATTCGCTCTATCAATGGTTCTCTGAAGGCGAATAGGTCGCGATGATTTGGTAGGCCCCGGAGACATGTTGAAGACCTGGAGTCTTGCTACTGTGAGAATTCTGATTAGTGTAAATGTATGTAAGTCGGAGGGGAACGGTAATGGTAACGGGGTATCTAATTGATTCTCTCACGAATATTCAGGAATTTTAGCTTTGATAATGTGTCATAGCTAGATAGCTGAATACACATTAAATGATTTAAAAAAAATAGTTAGGAGGTCGAAGCGTTACTACAACTAAGTAACACCTGGTGTTAACATTTCTATCTTGATATCGACCCGTACAAACATACCGTATACAAGAACTGGGAATTAACGCCAATATTGGGAGCTCCCCTGAGCTCAAGAGCCTTAACCGCTACGCACTTGGTCGCCTTCTTGCAGCTCGCTCTGGTCATGGAGACTTTGCAGACTACCACCACCGCTTTCAGCACCTGGAAGCTCTTCTGATCAGCGCTTGCGGGCTAGAAAATTCTCCCGAGCACTTCTTCTTTTGTCGACTCAATCGGAGTCAGTCCTGCCTTTGCAGCGGAAATAAACACCCAACGACGGGAATTCGCTGGATTCTAGGCTCTCCTGAAGGTGCCATAGCTTTTAGTAAATGGCTTCATGAAACATGCTCTTTTGAAGCATGCAATAACAAGACTAACTAGCACTCCAAATTACAAACACTTGGCCTGTATTCGCTAGAACTCAGATTAAAAGACTTTTGGTCTAGGTGATGGATAACTCTCCTTTTCATACATATAACTATCTTCTCTACTATATTAGAATACAAAAGTCTCAGCTGGAGAGTACTTTTGACTTCTTTCGATAGTTCGGGGTGCATGGCAGATAGGCCTTGGCCCATTCATAACATGTCGGGCTTATTTAAAAGCGTTGGCACGTCGGGTAGTTTATGTAGACTGAGCTAGCCAACACGATACCTTATGGTTGTGTTGTGAGCTAGCACGACGTTGAATAGTTCAAAAAAATATACCGTATAATAGTAACTCACATTGATAATCAGGATTGCGATGGATAGCAGAGATTAATGGTGTTTATGGTAGTGCTGGGTTTGGTAATTGTTGACAGGGATATGACACGTGTATTTTTATATCGCACATTTGACTCCTCTTTAATATAATGATGCTTCCGACTACATTCGCAATGCCCATACCTACTCTGGGCTAATCACTCTTTACTATATTGGTCTTATGTTCTATTTTATGCCTTTTCGCCCTCTTATCTTAAATGATATGTCATGATATTCTTCGTCTCGCTGGCCATCATCAAGCTCAGAGTTATGGACAGATTAAATCTATAACACCTGGCAATGCGTGGCTGGGTAGCAAGTATTGTGCCTAAGGATAAGTCATCAGTCTGGAGATCGGTGAAGGGGACTAAGCCTTATAAATACCTGTTAGTAGTAGCTAGAGTTCTCCTCTCCTCATATAGTTTAATAAATCGATTTTTTCATCATCAACTCGGTTTCCATCACAATACCGGAGAACACCACCAGGAAGCGGTCCACAACACCTTCCATCGTTTACTTGATTTCGTAGTGAGGATTTGTTGAAATTCTTCTCCGAATTATCTAAATAGAACTAGCCACCCTTGCTTGATTGGCCTTATCTACTAGCCCCCGAAACCAGGATGTAGCTTAGTGTCTCGAAATGAGGTCGTGATCCGTACGATCAAACGAAGTAATCAAAGTCTATTCCGATTCTCTTAAATAATGATAATACAGGAGTCGCTCTATGATGCGCTTGAGAAGTTTGAATATAAAGCTATTTTACAGGGGTATCTGTTGTGATTGATGACATAGCCACCCCTGCATCTGGTTATTGTGGATCACAGAGATGTAGAATCTAATGGTTAAAACAGAACAGACCAGAGTCAGATAGAATAGAACAGGATGGAATAGAATGTGATGACTCAGAGCTGAATGGAACTGAGCGACTGGGGATATGGAAAGCCATAGAATGTGGTATATGTATATAAAAGTAGTGATTCTCTAAACTTGAATGAAAGCAAGCAGGTCTACTAATTCATTACACTCTCCCTCTACCTTCAAGCCTCAGTGAACGTGCAGTTATTTACCGGTAACCATTCCACCTCCCACAACCTTGCATTCATAACAGTATCTTACCGGGCCCAGGGCCAGTGAAACTCAATCGAACCTGAAGCAAAAATAACGACCTATTCCCATCTCTACCTGAAATTGAGTAGACTCAATTGCATAGATTCTTTTAGTCCCCGGTGCTCTAATAACCAACGCAAGTTTCCTCGAGTTGCAGATGCTCAGCTGATGCTTTTGTTGCCGGCACAAGCTAATGTATTGGTTCCCTTGTGTCATGGAGAATCCAATCCTGTTAGGGAACTGTCGAATAGTAGGACATAAGCTTTATTTGGATGTGCATTAAGCAAGGACGCTGGAGTTTGGGCGGTAATAATGATTATGAAGATGTAATGAGGAGGGAAAGACTGAACGATTGTGCGCGGTGTCCTCTACGAACCTGGGAGTGAAATATTCTCCCAGAGCCAAGTTAAGTCAAATTTCGCAAAATCAAAGAAGTTGGCCCACCATGCAAAATTTCAAATTACTCCTCCACGTCGTTTTTTCGTTCCCAACGAGTTTGACTCCTACCCAAGTCTCATCAATTCTACAAGTACGACCTAGTACATCCTCATTCCAATGATCACACCACTCCTCGACCTTCTCTGGCCTCAGTTGACCGCCAAATACATGCCCACGCCGATATTTACACTCGATGGAGGAAGCAAAGCGAAGCGCACAAATCTGGAATACAGTTATTTTTGGGATGGACGTGAATGGGATCAGGACAAGTTGATAAGATGATGCAGAGGATGGATACATACTTGACGGGCGTGAAATTTCGAATTTTGGCAAGGAGTTTTACGAATTGAGCTTTGTGCGCGCCAAGACTTCGCTTGCGAGAGTGCAGGCGACACTATAAAAACAAGCCGACGATGGAAGGTGTCGTGGTCCGCTTACTGGTGGCGTTCTCTGGTATAGTTTGAGTAGCCTGGGTACCTACTCCACTTGGGAAGGAGACGTCTCAGACCATATTTCGCGCAGAGAAATGTGAACGGATGATGGAGGCATGTCTGGATAATTCAGGGTTTTTGAGACATTTCCCTAGGTGGGTATTCACGGATGAGGATTGACTTGGGGTGAACAAAAAGCCACCATAACTTCGCAGTGGTACTTGCAAATGAAATCCGAGGCATGAGTGCTTCTCTCGTAAATTGAGTCATCTTTTCTGTACTTTTCTTTGATATTGTGTTATAGCTAGATAGCTGCATACGCAATTAAAATGTGATACAAAAAAAAAAGATGTAATGACAAATGGGTAACAATTAGTAATAGCTGTGTAAGCATATATCATGTGACGAGTGTTCAAGGTCATTAAGGCTCTGGCGCTCCGCCACTAATGAAGATAGATACGAAGGAATGAAACAACTGTTAATGAGTTACCTCAAACAAAGAATCCATAGGAAATATTCTGACAGGAGCCACTCTTGATTCCGCAAGGCCAGTGTTTACTTATTTGTAACTGTCATTACAACCTGGGCTAGCCCGCTCCTCTGTGACGGGCTGTGCCCGGATTGAGACTGGTCATTAGGACCACCCGGGCTAGATATTTAAGCGTCAACGAAGCAGCGCCTACAGATACGCGAAAGGTTGCATAGGGAAGAATGCAAAGTTGCGCACAAGAACGAATCTCAGTGTTGCATAAGGATGATTGCAAGGTTGCGCACAAGGAAGGACCCAAGGGAGTACGTACTAAGGGGGGGAGAATGTCACAGGAAAGAGGGTAGCCGGGGAGAATGGAAGATTCTCAGGTAAGCTAGGAGGTGAGCTGAAACGCGACGCTGAAGAGGACATAAAAGACAGAAGCCGTCGTAGGCAGATTAGCTTTTCAAGGAAAAATTATCAATTCCTATTGAGTTAACGTCTTTCAAGTACTTCTGAATTCTTTAAACCTTTCATATCCTCAAGCGTAAGGCTCCTAGTTTAGAGAGATACATGCTGGAAAAACTGGCTCATACTTGTCTTGGGGCCTTTTGTGACCAAAGTATCCTTCTTCTATAATCGGGTTGATATAGAATTTGAGTATCAAGGCCAACAACTGGTTTCTCAAAGTTACTTAGATTTTATTTAAGATGTAATTAATCTCAAAGAGCTCTCTAGAGTTCAGTGTCATATAATTACTCGTTAGACATTAATTTTTGTAAAATAAGCAGTGAAATCTTTAAAAATGCTGCTATAAAATTCGAATAGACACGGATGTCGTTTGGTTATATACACGTGTACGCGTACGCAATGGGTTTCTCTCTGATGTGGTGATCCTTGTTCTATTCACTTACGGGCGTGTCTGCCATATGGGCGACACGGCGAACCGCACTAAGTCATGTGACTACTGCCTACTCACATAACAAACTCCCATACCTGCCAGGTGACCACATACCAACTTCAGCTTTGAGGATTCCTCATTGATATTACAACAACGGAAAACTAAGAGGTATCTCTTTTTAGATGTTTGTAAGTGATACCGCCGACCACAACCAGGCAGATATTGGGTTTAATTGTAGAGAAAGTAAACTAACTGAGATCTAACATATTCAGTAAATATATAGTTGTGGAAAAATATTTGCTTAATTACATGGCCATAGTGATGCCCGATGCCGGAGATGTGGGCAATTTCACGGGGATCAACTTTTTAAATTCGGCATATATTGTGTATTTATATTTTCTGGCAGTCTGATCAAGATATTTATGATCATGGTAATGATTATCGTAATTACTATCGGGATAGTCTATGAAGTAATTATCGAAATTATTTGTATCCTTGTAAATCCTGTAAAAAATTCTGTCGGATTTTGAATGGCAAACATCCATCAAATCGTTATATCGAGAATATGGGTCATATTGACTTCCGTGTAGCATGTGTCTCCGGTACGAATGCTCATGATGCCTCATTCTTTTTTCGCTTCGACTTAAAGTTCTTAAAATGTCTTTGTATATTGCACATTTTTGATAATAATTTTTCCAGTTATTGGTTATTTGAGGGAAGTTGATATTAATAAAGTTGGCAATCAGCCATCCGTTATTAATCTCATATCCTATTGTCGTGACAGGCAGCCAAGCATTTCTTTCCCTGTTTCGTTTAAATAAATGTAGATGTCCTTGATACCAAGCAAGCGCCTCCTGTCCAAAGACAGTTTTCTTCCCCTTAATTAACTCGCCATTTAATAGCAACGACCTTAGTTTCATTGGTTGATCCAAGTTGACAACAACAGGTTGTTCGGCCTTAGGAGGGCCGTACCTCCTGTACACTCCATCTACTGCAATAATGCCTCTAAATGCTAAGTTTAAGATTACCTGGTTGGTGCACTTTCTTTTCATTTCTAGTGAGAAGTTGGACATGATATTCTCATCGATCTTCTCTTCTGGATTGTCTACAAATTTAAGTGATTTCCAACAATCCATCTCTGCCTCAGTGTTTTTGTTCCAATGAAAATGGGCTCTGGGTGTTATGTTAGTCAGCCCACTGGTGATTTTATCTGCTATCTCGTGACTTTGGAGTGAAATAGAGCAGTAGGACATAATATGTGTTCCATTTTTCATTGCGGGATTCCAAGTTATGTCAGGTTGATTGATCAGCATCGGATCGGGAAAATTTCTGCTGGTTTGAAGTTCATAAACGCCGTATGAAGGCTTATTTGCCCCAAATTGCGTAACAATCAAGCGATCCATGTTCTTCGGGTCCTCTGCTGCGAGTAAGAGAAATGCTATTGCGCATTGCATGGTTTCAATTAACTGAAAAGATCAGTTTTTCCTGTTTGCCCGGTATTCTGACGCCTTATTAAGTTGATGTAATCCTTTCATGAACTATCCATGGAATGTTTCTGAGACTGCTTGTTATGAGCACTGTAATGATAGTCGGGTTTTACTATTGAAATTCCTAAATATCTGTAAAATTTTCCTGAGGATCAAACATTCTTAGAACTTGATTAGCTAAAATATTTTTTGTAACACTGAAAGGTATCTATAGTTGTGAGGATTTTATCCATTTGGTCATGCCCTCGATGATTAAAATGAATCCAATTACCTCGCCGCATGACATCGGCTCTCGTAAGCGATATGGCGGAAATTGTGAACTGACGAATTTAATCTACTAATTCTCCACTGTTTGCCAAGAAACTGGGAGGCGAATAATTGAAACCTGTCAGTGGTGTACAATAGGAAAATTAAGCCTGTAAAGCTGAACTCTTCAACTTTCAATGGTCCCGGTGTAATCGCTCAGTATTCTCTACATATCTGGAATAGCCAAAAAAACGTATCGGAATCGAATTTGAAATCAACTACAGACATATCTACTATCGAAGACTTCTCGTCAATATCGGTCTTGTCTTTCTCCCACGATTTCTCTACCTCAATCTTGCTAAAGCACCTTGCCTCAACGACCGATCAAGTAGTTACCCCATTTGCAAACAGGAGCTTGCCTCGTTGACTACCACCCATCATCCACTCCAAATTTACGACGCTATTAATACCCGCAAGGAGGAAATTAAGTCATAATATACAAAGTTGGGGTCTTGGCTTGTGGGGGACTGTTGCTCCAAGGGGACAAACAACTTGAGGGAGAACAGGCGGCTGAGATGTGGAGCTAGAAGGGGAACAGGTCTCTGAAGACCATGCTGGGACTGATATTTTCGAGGAGTTTTCAACTTTGGATTTTTCGTGGGCGCTATGACAAATTTCGGCAAATCGACCAGGAGGATTTCCATTGTCGATGAATTAACTGCACTCCTCAGCGCCCTGGACGGCATGAAAGAAGTTGGGCTAAGCAACTATACAGCAATCACGCTCTGTCAAGACTTTTCTGACATTTCAGCTTGACCTTCGGGAAAGAGTTGAAAGAAGGCTAGAAAGGCAGAGTGTAAATTTCCCGAGGTAAACACAAGTCTGCAGCGCCCAGCTGGCCGGCCTCTTCCAACGCTTCAGAAGGATGACTTTGTTTTCGGATTAAGTCCTGTTTTCGGCATTAGGAGAGCTCCGTACTCAGTGGTTTTTGCAATTTCTCCTGGCTGCCACACACCCGCAAATTGCCATAGTTTTGTTGGCTGAAGAGGGGAGATAATGAAGGGTAAAGGGCTCTTCTAAGTGTATGATCGAATGAGGACTTGTGAGGGGCGGTACTGTTTGAGGGGAGCTGTATGGGAGACATAGGATGGGATATACCACTAGATGGGTGGGGACTATTCTCAACACCTATCAGTGGTGTCTCTTACGAACCTCTAGCTCTGACTGTAGAGTCTACAGAGCCGAGATTGAGTAACAAAGTCCTCACTTCGACGAGGATTCCCAATCGCTTTTGCGGTCTATATCGTCATCATCCCTAAGCACAACACTCCTAACAGAGTGCTGGGGTTGCTGATCGCCCAGCACGTAGATTATAGCTAAAAATATTAGAGAAGGATGTGAGGTATTAATTGGGCATAAAGGGAGTGTTATTTTATATCTTTCAAACGATTCAAGACTCTTATTATATCTAGTGATGTTGAATTGTCCGATAAATTTAATTTGTATGTTAAACTTGTTAGGACGATAGGGCACGATTTCAGTTAATAGATATTCTCATTTAAAATTTGTTCGGTTCCTTAATTCTCTCCCATTTTCGAATATAATCTATGTACATGTACTAGTTGTCACAGGCTCATAACCTGGTTATCATTAGGCTGCTGCCTAACAAATAAGGCTTGAACTCTTCCAACCATATTAAACACCATACATGTCATGAACCCCTCCACGACTCATTAGACCCAAGTATAGGCCTTGGCCCAGTTCATGCAAATCTATTCTTAAATGATAAATTTAGATTGCAGACAGGACGACTCGAACACCAGTCGTGAGTCATCTAAGCCACATGCATCATAACTATTTTAATAACTAAAATTACTAACATTAAAATGAAGCCGAATTAAAATAGACGGAGATGCTGGTGTTTGTCGGAGGACAGGTCATGATCTATTTTGAGAATGGTATGAAATGAGGGAACGAGATCATAGTCTTGTAAATAAATAGGAGGCTTTCAGTCATGTCTCTGCTCGTTACTTTAAGATTTTCATTTGTATCTAGCTCTGAGTTCAGTTTGAATAAAACGCCACTTTAAGACCGTCACACTAGTAGGAACTTACATTTGTAACGGCTGGTAAGCTGATTGGTCCCTGTAGCCATTGTTGGTTAACTTAGGCTTAATTCGAGTGGCGTAATTAATGGCTACCAATGCGCTAATATGCGACGCCACCCAATACAATACTTTTGCGTCGGCATTTGCATGGTATTCACATGGCATCGGACTCGGCAGTGCGGCACGGCAGTACGGCACTGCACCACATGTTGATAGGCTTACACTGACTGGGAATATACGAGACCGAGTACAATCTCTCCGGACCATAACACGATAGTACTATATTACAGGCAAAGTCAGAACACTAGGGGAGTCCTACAGCATAGGAACAGGAGGGGGATTAGCCTCGGTGGCGAGGAGGCTTTCACGTATATAAATGAATAGATAGATGCAGTGGAAGTTCTCTCCTTAGAATTATTATTTACTACCATCGACCGCATAGTTGCCCCAGCACTTGTCCCTCGAAACAGTGACAGCATTCTTTGATTGTGTTCGTGCATCGATCATGATACGTAGCTGGGAAGCAATACTACCACTATATGTATTAAATTCTTGGTCGAAGGTTGATTAGTGATTACTCTTAACAAGACCGTGGCAATACAATAATAATTGTCTAATCTTTGTTTATTGCAAGGGCTGTAAGGGCCGGGTGGTGTAGCGGTTATCACACCAGCTTTACAAGATGCAAGTCTTCGATCGCTGTTGGTCGCGAGTTCGATCCTCGCCCTGGTCAGCTTGAGCAATGGTTCCCTACCGCAGACAAAATCACTTTTGTACATTTGCACTTTCAATCTCTCTTTTTGTCCAAATCAAATCTTAGGTTACTTGCTAGAAATGTAAAAATCTATCATCTTCATGTACAGCTATACCCCACACCTAGCATAGAAAGGCATCACTTGACTGACCGATTGGTATTGTCTACTTATAACAAACTTTTACGAATCCATGGTTGATATAGATGTGTCGGTAGACTTGAGCTACTTTACTTTCCTTGCAGCCACCATCAAAACATAAATATCTAGGGACAAACACGGATATCATGTCTATGATAGCCCCGACTAACCTCGAGTTAGAGCCAGATCAGATCATTCTAGATTCCAATGTACGTCAAGCATATCTAGACGATGAAAAAGATTACAGAAGCAGCACGCCTTTTTAGTTAAGATCGTACATCAGGATTCGTATCGTCAAGACTATAAACCAACATGCCAAATATCCGAATTTCAAAACTGACGAGCTGTGAGCAACTCTATGTTACCTAAGCTATTCGACACTTAAAAGTCTATGACATGCACTGGATAGTAGAGTAGCCTGCTTTAAATTACATATAAGTCTACTCCACCTGGCTGGACAGACTCTGCTAGCACTTCCAAAGGGCAGTTACATGTTCGAGTTTCGTCATCGCATTGGTCATAATTGAGTCTTACAAGTAGTAGTTTGGACAAGACTTTCCCCAGCTGCCCAATAACGGCAAGTGACTATAAATTGACGTGCTAAAGTGTGGAGATCAGTATGGGAGTCTTATATTTTTTCAAATGCTATCCCTTGACAATAGTGGGGGTGTTAAAGTTTGACGGTGATGGCAAAGGCGGTACAGAAGGTAGTGAACTAGCCAAGGCATGAATATTGGGGCGCAAAAGGCAGAAAGGACTTGTGTGAGTAATTTTGACTTGGTCGACATGAATAAAAATGAGAGAGCAAATGAGGGGTATTGTTGGAATGTAGGAAGGTAGGACACGATGAACTATTTGGGTCTTGGAGATTGACGATATATGCATCGTAATCTTACAGCAAAAATGATACAGCCTCACGTACTTTTTACCTATATCGACAACGGCCAGACTCGAACTGACGCTCCCGAGGGAACTAGCTATATCGTGTGTAGTTCTAGGCTAGCGCGATAACCACTCCGCCACGTTGCCTACCATAGAATCATTAAATTTATATACATATAAGTAATGCATTTGCATTGAACCTCGTTCGTTTTGCAAAGTCCCAAAGATTCAATGGCTCAAGTCGTTCCATACCCCCCAAAAGCTACTTCTAATCCAGATCTCGCAACCTTCCTCTTCAAAATAGACTTGTTTCCCCTTAAATTTGCTTTTGTCCGTCTGCGAGGGGAATATCGATGTCGTTTCAACCCAAGAACTTGATAACTTCCGTTACCCTACACTTCGCCTGCACTTTGCCTCCTTGAAGAATACTCATTATTGTTTCCGGCGAGTAACCAGCACCCGATACGGCACTAGTGGATTGGATCAAACTGGCCGCTCATAATACACAGAAGGAAGATATAGATTTATATGCGCACCCCTTATGGCTACGATGTCTAGGCCTCGTCTGGAAGGGGCTGCAAGTTTTTGGAGACTTTTTTCTGCTCACGCAGTTTCCATTGCTACAATTTTTAATTTTAATTTTATTAGATAGAAGGTTACGTGGAAAAGGTGGCCGAATTGAGCGGGTAAACACTGAGCTAGATGACTATTCATTACGGGCAATATATCGATGAACTCTCAAGTAACATAAGAGGCAAGGAGCACTGTACAAGGTGTGGCCTGAGTCCGAAAGGAGCCCAATGTGCTAGATCGTTAAAAACTCAAGTGGTACAATAAAA